AATGGAACAAATGTGTAACACAATAGGAATGTTGTCCAATCAAATTAATGACATGATGATGAAGATGCGTGATGCCACAAACCGGAGTAGTCCAACCAATAAGTCAAGTTGTCCAGACAAAGGTGGTAAAAAGAAACCTAAGCCATGTTATTGTCCCAATAACCCAGCGAAGAAATAGAATTAAATTATACATTTACATAAAGTTCAAGTGAGACAAGCTTTGGTCGTCGTAAACAAACTTTTTACAATTCTGTTGTCGTCTTTAACAAATTTACAATAACAAATGATTGCTGTCGACAATTAAGACTCTTTTTATTTAAATAGTTATTAAATGGCCCTAATTTTCATAATTATATCTCATTGTTTTTCTCATTATAAGAATTAAAATGTGATTTAAGAAGTCGTGACTACCAAGTGATGGCTATTCTAAATATATATATAGAAAGTGATATATTTTAATTAATGAAAATGTCTCGTTTATTTTATTTTTCTAAATGAAAAAAAGGTTACCTTTTTTAACTCGCTATATTGATAGAGGTGTAATATACTTATAACCTTGAGTTATCAATAAATCTCTCTGTCTGTCTATAGCATTGTAACTTCGAAACAGATGAATTTGTTTTGATCTTGCTTTTGGGGCATTTCTTAATTTAGATATCTAAATAAATGCAGTCAATAAACTTAATGAACTATAAATAGGTAATATATGAGAATTAATTTTATTTTTAATCACTTAAAATACAAACTTTACCTAGGTAATGATTACAATACTAAGGAATTATATATACCACTTGCTGGTCCACTGACAATATTCAAAGTATATACTAACTTACTTATTGATAAATATAAATAACTTATCGCAACTTCTGAGAACAACCGAAACAAATTGTTCACAGACCTCTTTGGGCAAGTTGTCATTGCTCGGCTTTGGTATTTTGTAACTCATTTTTATGTCTTAATCAGTAATCCCTAGCCAGTTGCTATTTCTTTTTTAAATTTAGATAAAATCACTTATTGAAGTTCACTTTTATGTCGCCTATGCTTATGGAATACGAAGTAACAGTTTAACTATACAAAATCAAATTTCAAAATGGAGTTCAGTGAAGATCATTGACATTTCAAATTGCAAACCATTGATAGAAAATACGAATTAATGATTTTGGGACATTGTAATTGCTCATTTCTTTAAGTGATTACGACTTAAGGTTGTCAATTGAGTTAGCGAATACGCCTGCTGATCTGCCTAGTCAAGGAAGGATGGGATACAAGTATTATTAACTTCTTAAGAAAGACACAACCATTTTAAAATTATTTCCCAATGTCCGATAGACTTGAAATTTTACATAGACATGTAAATCAGATAAATACAATTATATTTATACAATATTATACAGACAATAAATAAATATTATGGTGGCAGTAAGCTGATATGATGATGAACTCGGAAGGTGGTCATAGGAACTTAATGATGAAATTACGTAACTGTATCGTGTTTGGGCTCGTTAGATCCGTCTTTATGTAATTTTTTTACTGGATTAGACCGAGGTCTGGTGATGATGGAGCTGGAAGATGGTCATAGGAACTTAGCAATGAATAACGCAACTGCATCGTGTTTGGGCTATTTAGATCCGTCTTTATAAGAACAAAAACATATTGAGACAAAAATAATTTTTTTTAAACAAGCTTTTATTTGTGCGCACTTAAACGTAAGTAAATAAATTCTAAACATTTGAAATACTTCTTTTAAAAAAATTCTCTAATAGTAATTTACTTGAAAAATTTGTAGCGCGTAAAAAATATTTGTATTTCCACGTCTCCGGTTTCATTAACGCTACAAGTTTTTCAAGTCATTAACGTTAGAGAAAATTTTGATTATAAATACTTTAAATGTTAAAATTTATTTATTTACGTTTTAGAGCGCACAAATAGAAGCTTGTTATTTAAAAAATTAAGATATAAACACAATACACTTCTTTTTTGGGCAATCGTATAAAAGTATCTCGGTTTTGTATCAAACGTTGACTACAAGAACTAAATAGGTATAAAACCGAATGCAATATTTACAAAAACCAAATGTGTTGAGCAGATCCATTTGACCCGTATTGATCTCATGACCGGAGACAGGGTCCAGTCACGTACTGTCTTTATTACCCAGATGCTACATAGAAACATTATACTAACTATAAGATACAAAATGTCTTCTATGCAAGTTAAATCGCAAGGACTACCCAATTTGTGTAAGTTAGGTACTCACGTAACTCACGTAACAGGTAGCAAATCGCTGATATAGTGCTTAAGCAACTGTCGCAAGAGTCGGTAATGGAATGGGTGACCGAAAATTGTTGTCTCGAGCTACTCCGTTCTTCGAAAGGCAAGTCAGACCGTTGGTTCCAGCTGAATTTACAGTCATTATTACCCTCAAATCCGCATTGGGTCAGCGTGGCGAATAATGGTTCATTCTCCTTAACCATCCATATCGCTCACTGAATAGCACAGTGGCACAACTCAAAAACCATTATTTCGAGAAAACGCTACAACATTGCGGTGGCATCCCATAGATAATTTAAAGAAAAAATTAAAAACTTAACAGTAATAATATAATACAAACGATTTAACTGTTATGCTAAAAATTTTGATTTTCAAAATTATAAATATATTAAATTTTAATAACTTCGAAGAGCGTTTCTCGAAATTATAGTTTTTGAGTTGTGCCACTGTACTATTCAGTGAGCGATATACCCTGCAGTGGGTAAAAGGGGTCGTTTTAACCTTGAACCATAAGACATCGTACTCAAAATCGACATTACTTTTATTATTCCATTAGATTAATTCCGAAGATTACCTCCACAAACAAACAAACAAAATTGTACTTCAGCATGTTTTTTGTATCTTAAGAGGTTTCAATTAGTTAAAAAAAACGACGTCCAAACTTTGTAATAAAAAATAATACACCTCTTAAGTTTACAATCTGTTGCATTTCCATTACAGTATTTTTATAGGGAAAATTGATGTATATCTATGAATCGTAACTATATCACAATCGAGCTCATGGAAAAAGAATACTTATATTCTCCGGATTTATTCCGTACAGTAAAACTCGGCGAGCAATAAGGAATTATTAAAAAAAAATTAGTATCCGAAATCAAACTAGATGTCGCTACGATACGTTCTTGATTTCTCCATGACAACCTTTCCAGTTTTCTTTCAAGTTTAAAAGTAAATTAGTTTTCAAAACTCAATAAACAACTCATATTCTATTCGTACTTTTTGTATTTGTATTGATATCAAAAATTTCGAACTTTTCAAATTTCAGTTTTTTAATATGTTAGGTTAAAGGAACGGAAATGACTGTCTTAAGTCCATTCGTTTCCTGAAAAAATCAACTTTTGCTAGAGTCGCCATCTTGTGGAGGTGTTTTTTTAGTGCTTTCGTTTTTTTTAAATACTTCTTCATTGAAAAGTCGCCTACTCGACTACGGCGCAATTTAAAATTGTCAAAGATTCAGTTACTTTTGATAAAGTAACTAAAAATAACAAAGATTTTTAGAAGTAAAATTCGCTATTTTGCATTAAAATAGTATAAGAGATTGTCAGTAGGTAATTTTATAAAAATAAAAAGTTATCAATATTATTGCTGGACTCGATGTAGATATACAATTTGCTTCACCAGCTTCAGCTTCTTTAGTGACGTACCTACATAGAAGTATTTAAATATTGGTGGTTATGTAACCCAATTATAGAGTAAATAATCAAAGTTCTCCTGAACGCTTAATTAACCTGTATGAATAATAGGCGTATTTCATCTTCTGATAAGTTCCACACTATATCGAGAGTACAACAGCCCGTAGATGTCGTGTAATAGGGGCAAACTCGAGGCTAACTTTGATTGCCTATCCGAGTTACACAATGCGACCGCATTTGGATTGCTATCGCCAATATGATCGGCCATATTCACCTTAGCTTTGGATATAGCGGTAAACTTCTTGTTACAAACTTTTTGTATATTTATCTAATCTTGCAATTTAATTTCAAGGTTTAAACCTTATTTCAAGGTGTTACCATCTCTTAATTTTCTAATTTCGATTCCCGGTAATGTCAATGTAGAAAATGAACTTTGCTATGTTGCCTCGGATCTGGGTGTTGTGTTTGTTATCTTCATTGTTTCAGATTTACATAAGTAAAAGGGCTTTAGCAACTTAATTTGTGGTATTTAACATTTGAATTATTTATTTGAGGTATTGAAGTTCGACCTCTTTTTTTTATATTTTGACGCTGAGAAATGCGTAACGCATACCCGCTTCGTCCTGCGCGGGCTCCACGGGTGATGAGGGACTCCTCCTGTGGCCCTACCCCCAAAGGGCTAGACGAGAAACAGGAGTTTACCCACTAAAACTCAGCGATGTCCCTCGCATGGAAGGCGATGCGCGGGATCGGCCCGAAGGCCATACACCGCGCCGAATTGAAGTTCGACCTATGGTAACAAAAAAAGATTGTTTGTCCTAACTCAACGCAAATTCTAAAGGTGTGGTTCATTTTATAAGGTTTTGTAAACCCTAACTCTCATATTATAGTAGTAAGACGCTCTGCCTACGAAGAAAATCTACGCTTTTGGTCTGCAATGTGAAACTTAAGCAACTTCCGCAAAGGTCGGTCATAGGGTGGGTAAACAATTTTATATCTCGAACACCTGCATGCTTTGGAAGGCATATCAAAACGATGACCTCGTCTGCAGCTGCAATCATTAACACCACTATAAGTGCATCGTCCAACTCTTCAGAAAACTTGTATAACAAACTATTATTGCAACAAGCTTATATTGCTTGCTCCTCTCTATTGATATTTTAGTAAGAGTTCCTTATCGGTAATTATCAAGATATATGAATTTACACAAAAATTAATGATGGCCAGTTTCTTCTTCACTCTTAATAATAGCTTACAAAGCGTTACTCGCACTGGGTACGGTTTTATACAAATGATCCCAGATAATGAAACAAATTTTTATAAAAATTCAATGTATTTTAAGATATAACCTTATGTTATAGGTAATACTAGTCTAAATTAACCTTAAGTGCATATTAACTCGTAGTATGCAGCGAGATCAAAGAATTGTGACATTATTTTCTATTGTTTACAATTAATGTATCGAGTATTTTTTTATTGTATTCCCTAATAAATTATGTAACAATTCATCTATTTTAAAGTATGATTAATGTTATCTAGCATTCAGAGTGAACATATTAATTTTATAACTTAGTATCTATCCTCAATCTATAATTTCCGTTGTCTTTTTTTCTATTTGTCTTTTCCTAAGGCAGGTGAAAAAAAAATACAGTAAACTACCAAAGTCTTATGTAAACAAGTAAAAGTATTTGATATGTATCGCTGACGACGATGACAACGACGTCATCGTTTAATTTACATAAAAATATAATTAATTGTCTGTTTTTTTGCGTTCACTACAAACAGAATATAACAACAAATAAGTCAGTCTTATATTAATAACTAAACAAAAGTCACCCTTCACGGAATGTCTGTATTTTTTTAATCATCTCTTAAAAAAGTCTTCTTCCTAAAGCGACCAACCGTATTAGCAAACAACATTAGACATGCCATAGACAAGCTTCCCATAAAAATACCAAGCTCCCATATGCAGGGCAGGTTTCACGTCTGCCGCGCGTGTGACCCGATACATATTCACACACTGGAGGTAGCTAACTGTCATGTGATTAGCAACCAAAAGTAATTTAAAATACAGCAATTTTCCTAAACTGTAGGTACAGCAATTAATGCGTAATTTTTCTTGAAAGCATTTAGGTTTATTGTCGTTCTTTTTATATAATATTTATTGAATATAACTAAATGTTTTCAACAACTTAATCTAATTCAATTCCATTGGTGTACTTATTAGATTCTTCATAATCTGCAAAGTAAATGCCATTGTTTTTCGTTATTAGTGCCTACTTTGTGGGTAACTTTACATAAATGGGCTTATGGGACGAAGGAATATATTCATAACAGCCAATGTTGTCGTACGGAATATTAAAATTTCGTGAATATATCATATCGTGTTGATTATTTTCATCTGTGGTCAATATTTTCTTTGAAAACTTCTTTTCAAAGTCCAACCCACTGAAATAGTAAGCTAAAGATCCTTTATTTGGATCCATATTTCCAATAAAAAATATACATTTTCTAGCACCTATATACTGGGAAATTAGTTTAAGTATTGCCTGTTTATAATAGTCGTCATTCGAATTTCCTTTGTCACCAATTACAATATATAAAAACTTTTCATAAAGCAGTAACGTCAAATAGCTTTTGTTTGCATCATCTGATATTGAACTAACTATATCCACAGATTTATTAGCATCTTTGTAACAAATAATTCCTCCGCCTGATCTCAAGGTCATCTTATTGTTAGATCGAAATATTACCTCGAAATTTGGTATCCTAATCTCATCTGAATTAATGGTATTTGTGTCTGTAAATATCAATAGTGACCCATTACTATACCACTTATCAGTAGTAATAAACTGATAATGCTCATTAAAAGTATGGCCTGTATTTAAAAAAATTATAACATCGCCAATTTTATCTTCAAATGTTTCATATGCTAGTTTCAGTTTTCTTTCAGTTCGCAGTCTATTCAATTCGTTTTCTGTACGAACAAATTTTTCGCTTTTTACAGAAGCAAAATTAAAGTTTCCGTAGATGTACAAGTCTTCAAGCCGTTTAACACGAGTTAATGCAACATATTGCAAGCTCTTATCAAATCTTAATCTGTCTTTCCGATTGTCGGTGATATGTATACATACGCCGTCATGAAATGTTTGTCCTTGACTCTTATGCACTGTTATTGCTTCGGCTGCTTTCAAAGGAAACATATTACGAAATGTTCGAGCAACTTTTGGATCAGATTTTAATTTAACAACAATACTTGATTGGTGAATAGGGACACAACGTTCAAAACCGGGCTTACTATGTTTTTTGAAATATTTCGATCTGATTTTCTTACCAATTTCATTAGAATGGAATTCCATCCAAATTACATTTACATCGCCGTCTGTATTATAATCGAAACCTTTTACAATTCCAGTTGTACCGTTTGCCAAACTATCTCCTACATCCATATTTTTTGTAATCATATATCGTATACCTACCTTTACTCGCAGATTACCCGGGACCCAATCCTCATTATCCTCAATAGCGTTTACAATTTCTTCTTCTCCATTTGATTTGTTTATTTTTTCGATATTGAACTTATCTACAGCAGTATTTAGATAAAACAAATGAATAACTGAATCTGAAATTTGATCGATATTTTCTATTTCTCGTGATCTCAATAACTCAATATCCTCGTCTGTCATTTTAGAATCTCTAAAATTATTTAGGGCATTAATAAATTTTTCATCTTGTTGTCTTATAATCTTATTTAATTCATAAAATTCACAACACGTCCATAATTGTGAATTTGGATAAATAGGTTTTTCGCCCACTGGATCAATTTGATATAAGTCACCAACTAATAAAACAAATCTATCGCCATACAAATTGTCATTATCAAATATTAACTGTAAGCGTATATTTACCGAATCCAATAATCTTTTACCGACCATAGATATTTCATCACATATGAAAAATATACAATTTGCTAACAATTCTTTTTTAGATTCAAGACGTTTTTTACCAATTCCTCTTGTATTGTAAATGGGTATTGAAAACATGTGATTCAATGTTACACCATCAATATTAGAAGCAGCTTTCCCGGTGAATGCACATTTTAATACCTTTATTTTTTCTGGTGTATCTGACGTTTTATTTTCTTCCCATGTTATTAATTTCTCTATAAAATCAATAATAGTACTTTTTCCAGTGCCTGCTGGGCCTTGCAGTATAATTTTTGGATTATCTTCATAAATTTCACCAAATTCATTCTGCACAATTCTTTTTTTATTATTTTTGTACATAAAATAAACATGCATCACAATGTTACGTTGGTCATCAGTCAATATCTCGAAAATTTCTTTGATTTTATGCAAATCAATAACTAAGTTATCACATTCAATCGAATCGTCCAATGCATCTAAAAATAAAAAATATTTAAAACATTAAAACTTGATGAAATATCATAACACTAATGATAATTATTCTATGCATGAATATACATTCATCGGTGACGGTGCCAGCAATGACATGTCACTGAAACTGACTAGTGCAAATAAATTAATAAATAACTAGCTGTTTTCCCGTGACTTCACCCACGTCAATTATAGTGTATTTTACCCGCTTATGATGTAGCTTCCAGTCGATAAAATATTTTTTATTAAATCGAGCCAATATTTTGAGCCCACTCAATGCAAACCACTAATCAAAATTTTATTTTTTATAATATTAGTAATGTGGAAGAGTTATTGCATTTATCTACATATAATGTAATAACTTAAAATATACAAACATTTTCACTTAAGGATTGACTAAATACATGACATAAGTTAATGTCAGAGAGCGAAATCGCGGAAAAGCAACTAGTTTATAATATTTATCTGTACCTGATGCCGACTCGGAGTTTTCTTTGAATAATTTGAATAAGTAGGGTTTGCCTTCATGGTCCTTTAAAACTATCTGTAAATATAATAAAACAGTATTTTCCAAACGCAATCAATCTATAGTAATAACATACGATAAAACAGGATTTTTAATTTTTCAACGACTCTTGAAAATAGACGATACATTAAAACCTGCGTCTATTGTCGAGTATAAGTTATAACTTGAGTAAATTTGCTTACTTAAGCAAATAGTTTCAACAAATAAATAAGAATTTGAATGAAAAAAGAACTGTTAATGGTAATAATACCACTATAGTTAGCTTTGAAACTCTCGTCTATTGGTTAAAAATATCTACTTATTATGCCTTTTCACAAGTAATTACTTCACAAGTATCTACTAAAGATACGAGTGTTGATGTTATAATACCTACATTCTATTTTGTTATGCCGGCGCATGCAGGAAACAGCTTTTGATAACTCTATTCAAACATAATGTTTGTTATGATACGTTAGCGTCCTATCAGTGAGGAAGAAATCTAATTTATTACCAACTATAGTACTCGTATTTAGCACAATAAACAGCCGGCCAAGAGAAAGACGGGCTCGCGCGCAGAGAGTTGCGCGTTTTACAAAATTATATATTAAAAAACCTTACACTAAGTTTCTAGAGTCTGTCTTATAAAAGTTAATAGCGGTAAAAGGCGTCAAAATAATACAGCTTACCGTCTGTATTTGATCCAATGGCGGAAATGATGGCGGGACATTTATATTTAACTGTTTTTTTCGACTGTTATAAGTGGTGATTTCATTTAATTTAGGCATTATCCTGAAATTAAAATATCGTCCTTATTAAAATTGAAATATGCGAGGCCTATAGGTGATTCAAGTACAGAAGCAACATCTAGGATATTCTTATAATAATATTCAAATATGATTTAAATTTTCTTGAATTTTTTTGCTATGAGATTCGTCATCTTAGCGTTGTTATGGCAATTCTTAGTTTCATCTTACAACTTTGACATGTAATTTAATAACGACAAACGAATGATGTGAAATTATGACTATGCATTTGACGACATGTTACTAACTTAATCATTTATTCCAAACTAACTTTCCGCCAGCGGCTTCGGCCGCGTAGTCTTGTATTATATACAAAAACCTTCCTTTTGAATCACTCTATCAATGAAAAAACGCATCAAAACCGTTGCGTAGTTTTAAAGATTTTAGCATACATAAGGATATAGGGAACAGAGAAAGCGACTTTGTTTTATACTATGTAGTGATTAGTCAAGCAAAAAACGTTTCAATTGTGTTTTGCGTTTAGAGTATTGGGCGCGTTAAGGATTAGAATGGAGATTTATAGTTCTTGATAGTTACCGCTAGGGGCGCTGTGCCGGTTTCCATACTAAAATCTTAACGCCCTTACGATCGAAAGAAAACTTAAAAAAGAAAACTTACACTAAGCCCTTCGATTAACTGTTGCTACAGTGAACGAGGGTCGCGCCCGAAGTTCCAAGCTGTTTTTAGTACATCTCTGCAATTTAGAAATAACCGTAGTAATCATGTCAAAAAGATTTAAAATTGAAGAGCTTTTTCAGAATCAGACTTTCGAGAACAGACGTAGTAATTTTAACGGACTAAATGCTACTTACTTTTAACTATAATATTCCGTAACACAAAACAACAACAACAAACAAATCCACAACATTAATTTGTTGATAAAAAACACGCGTGAGTTGCTCCACAACAAACTAGTGAGTTAGTGACGCAGTCACTTGTGGTAGAGTTTTCCAAAACGATTATAATACAGTCAGTAGACTAAATGCTAAAAAAATAAATAATATTAACGCGCTATGTACGTAGACATTATTTATTAATATTTGATTCTAATATATGTGAAATAAAAGTAAATGAATTATGTGTATTTTTTATCTACACGTAATAAAAATATATTTATTAACATTATCATCTTTATTATAAACACGTACTTATAGATAGATAGATAACACTTTATTGTTAACACCAAATACAAGACATACATAGAACAAAAATCAATATTATTATGCTATGTGTCACAATCGACGGTCATATCACTATACTGCGATATTAATGTACGAGAGTGTATAATAATCTTATGATTACAATAGATATTAAATGAAAATACATTAATATAAATCATCTGATGTCAACCCTCAATTTGATATGCGTTCATCGCTTGAGACATCGATAGATCGCAGTGATATACAGTTTGATGAGAATGTAATATTGCAACACTTAAAACATCGTAATATACATAAAAGAGCCGGAGCTGATGACATACATCCTTTTTTCGTGTCTCAGTGTGCACATCAATTAGTAAAACCTTTAACAATGGTATTCCGCAAATCAATTTGTACCAGTGAGTTTCCTAGCCTCTGGATATGAGCATTGGTGACACTTTTTCCCAAAAACCACAAAAAACCTGATTACGGAATATCCTCATATCTCTGAATTATGTGTTTTAGGGAAACTCTTGGAAAAAATTGTTTCACATCAGTTATCGTATTTTATCCATCATCATTGATTCCCTATGCGGCATGATTTTGTTAACTTCGCAGCATTGACACCAATTTGATAACATTTAAGGAATCTGTTCTTCAGGCTATGGATCAGGGTAAACAGATGCTGTGTACACCGACTTCTCAAAGGCGTTTGATAAAATTTCTCATAACTTATTTTTACAAAAGCTTTAAACCATCGGTGTGCACGGTAATTTGCTTAGATGGCTCGATTCTTACATTCGCAATCGTAGTCAAGCTATTTGCGTAACGGATTATTGTTTCGCCTTTTTGCCTATTCCATCTAAAGTTCCACAGGGCTCCCATTTTGGGCCTGTCATCTTTTGCATTTACAAAATGACAATAACGAAGCCTTGACTAACTGTTGTCACCTACAATACGCAGACAACATAAAAATATATAAAGACTTGACTGTCGTGTATTACAGAACGATATGGACTCTTTAACTAAATATTGCAGAGATAATCAATTATTCCTTAATACTGACAAGTACCGTATCATTACTTTTTCAAAAAACTTTCAACAATTACATATCCTTATAAGATTAACGACATGGAATTGATGCAAGTCGATAGTATTAGAGTGACAGTAAATTATATTTTAAAGCACATTACGATCAAACAGTTAAAAGGGCATTTCGTCGTGAAATCAGGTTTACTTATTGTGAAAATTATAACAGCAGTTTATATCTTAGTGAACTATAACAAGTAACAACAAAACTTAATAAAAACAACAAAAACTTTTTAAAAAATGTGTGATCTCAACACAACCCAACTTAATCAGTATACTCATCAACCTATGGTACTGATTATCGAATTCAATTACTTACATCACCAAAATGGCAGCCAGGCGCAATAGCAATTTGCGGGGATTATACTCTGAAATGAGATTCGAACTCACGACCTTTCACAATCCAGATGATTAAGGTACTTTCGCTACTACACTGCCGTATATTCATCAACGTTTAGGCAATTCGTCTCGTCAGGCAAAACTTTGTATAAAAATCTATAAACACTGTTAATCTGTATTACAGACCGAAAATCTGTATAATTACGGAGAAATCTGTATATATGGGAACACTGCTGGCCGCTTAGCTGAGGGCGCTTATAATTGTTGAGCGTTAACATGCTAAAACATACTTAGCAGCGTTAAGCGCTAAGTACGATTAGCTTGTTCAATCAACACGCTAAGCGTTAATTTAACCACCTCTCTACTAGAGCATACGTATATCACATGTAACTCGCTGTCCAGCATTAATGAGTCATCATCACAAATTCTGTGAACACAATATAACCGAATTGCGAATGATCGAGACCATCGTCACCCATCCTATTCTGTCGTATATATTTTGATAGTGTAGAGTATTGGAGGGAATATTGGTTAGTATAATCCTGATTTATTCATAAATTATAAAGTGCAAAAGCGCCCGCGAAATTGGTACATTTTAAAACGAACTAAATGCTTTTTTTCAAATTCATGAATACTATAGAAGCACTAGAACATGTAACAAATCAGTTGAGTTTATTATTTTTGAGCTAGAGACCAACTTCCAATATATTAGTCCAATTTTTATTTTTTATTTTAGTCCCACTAGTTTCCAATTTCAAAGTCAAAAGTTACTGCAAACTAAATGTAGTGCAAACAGTTAGAACTTTAAACACTTTGTAGCAATTTTGATGTTTACAAAACAGCATTTTATTAAAACACAAAAACATGCATTGCCGTCGAACATTATAACCTCTTCCTTTTGGATTTTGCAGTCGGCTAATTATAGGAACAAAACTATTCAATTGATATAAGTATTTAAAATTACAAGTTGATAGATTCCAATAGTTTTACTCCAAAAATCTATACAAATATTATAAAGCTGAAGAGTTTGTTTGTTTGTTTGAACGCGCTAATCTCAGGAACTACTGGTCCGAATTAAAAAAATATTTTTGTTTTGAATAGACCATTTATCGAGAAAGGCTTTAGGCTATATAACATCAAGCTGCAACTATAAGGATCGAAGAAATAATGGAAAACGCGGACGAAGTCGCTGGCGGCCACTAGTATTAAATATAATATAATATGATCAAAAGTCTAAGTGACAGTGACATCTAAATAATTTTCCATCTTCTTCTTTTATTAATGACTTATCTGCGCATTTCGTACAATTCTGTCAATGTCAAATGAATAAATAAATTTTTACATGAAAATGAAATGAATGAATGATGGCGATGATGTAAAAACTTGTTCATCTAAATAATAATTAGAGATATCCGTAATGTATTCGACAAAAAGTAATACTCGTGATAGTCGATCCATTTGCCGATGGAATGAAAATAGTTTTTGTGCCGTCAAATTGTTTATTTTCAAAAGGAAAAGCGGTTTCTCAGAAACTCGGAGCCGCTCATCAGAATATTAACAGTAATAATTAACAACCAAGGGGCAACAAAGTTTCCAATGGTATTAGCACTGAAGTAAACAATAACTTTAACTATGGACAATGTTTCACGAAATAAGTCCCGCATTGTAATCACGTACTGTTTGTCACGTATACAACAGTGGGTAATTGGATATTCGCCGTTGTTAATAATTCTATTCGAATAACAGTTAACTTAGAAAGCCTTGGGGATAAGATTATCAACTTGTTAATGTATGCATTATTGATATTAAACAATATATAAGTAATAAATAAAGGATCCGTATTAGCGAGAAATGTGAAGTTATTTTGGGAATTTATAATATGACCAGAGGTCACCATATCGACGATATTTAATCATAAAAAATTAACCTTAACAAGTCACACACATGGCCATTCTTTTCCCTTAGATGGGTAGATAGAATATTCTTAGAGACGTACAATTTGCGGCCTTTTAACTAAAAGTGATCTCTTCCAGGCAACCTTGTCACCATCATCATCATCATCATCATCACCAGCCCTTTTGCGTCCCCACTGCAGGGGCTCAGGCCTTCCTTATGGATGGTTAAGGAGGATGGGCCATGACCCTCCACGCTGGCCCAATGCGGATTGGAGTGTATTAACGACTGCAAATGCAGCCGGGACCAACGGCTTAACGTGCCTTCCGAAGCACTATGCCATTACTATGGCAACCATGGAATGGAGTTAAATATAAAAGACCTAACGATGGGGTAGTGAATTGTTTACTTAATTATGATTTAATTTTTATAATAGACCTGCATATACTATAATATAATAACTATTATCGTATAAAATATAATACATATATAAACATATAATGCCTATATACATACTTTCATGGACAGGTAGAGTGCTCTCTGACTAGTTTCCTAAATATATTAAGAGAATTAGCTTTTCTAATCGACAAAGGTAGCGCATTCCATGGGCATACAGCATGGACGGTAAAAGATTTATCATAGTACTAAGTGGAATACATGGGCATTTCCAGCCGCAGGTTTTCTGATGATCCCAAGAAGTGGGATTGGGATTCTTTGATGAATTTGAAACTATCTTTGAAATAAGAAGGTTTAGTGGGATTAAAAAGTATACTAAATATTATATTTAAAATATGTGCATTCCGGCAAAATCGAATAGGCAGAAATTCGGAAGTGTGATCATATTTGCGTAGTCCAAATATAAAATTTATGCAAACATATTGAAGGCACTCAAGCTTGTTCAGTTGCATTTCTGTAAGGTCAATTGATAGCTTACGTCGGCGTAATCTAGAAACGCAATTATACTGGCAGTAGACAAGAAATTGCGAAGCCTTCTTAAAGTAAAGTACACTAGATTTATTGTACATAGTGATGGCATTAGACAATGAGTCAAACTGTGCACATCGAGCCCATACGGGAAAACGTCGAGTTCGAGATACATTGTCCAAGTTGCCTTAGTGCATTGGCAAGGCAACTTAGGTATAACCTTTGTAAAAACCTTAGAAATAATAAAATAATTAACCTTTGTGCATGATAGTTTGTAAAGTCATTTATCGAGCTTAAAACCTAAAGTTATTTTTAAAATTAAAATCTGTGATTAGTTTTTAAGTCAAATGACACGACACCCAGAACGGTCTCATAAGCCATCTAAAATAAACCACAACTTAACAAATTGCTCTTGTCAATCCAGATCTTCTATCAGCATCAGTAGCCAGTTGCTAATTAATGTCGGAGTTAGGAACGACAGACTATCGGGTTCCCTTATTGATGAACCTATTAAATGGTACAGTGCGACGGACGTTTTTCTTAGGATATTCTC